TTCATCATTGGGCAAGTCATGCTGCTGTGCCTGCATTCTGCTGCTGTTTTATTTATATGAAACATAAATGCTTTGGGATGGGGTTGTTGTTGCTTAGTGCAATGCCTCATCTGGAGGTGGGTCTTTGCATACTGCTGTAATACCGATGATGCTTGGGGGACTCTCTCGGTTTCCCACCTCTTGCCTCTCTGCATGCAACAGATGATTCAGACCACGAGGGCAAACCCTGCAACCTTTCCTGAGTCAGACTGACTGAGAGCTTCCTTTCTTGAGGAGGGGCATTGCGGGAAATATAGGCGTAATCTTGGGAGGAAGGCACAGTTTGGGCTGGGGTTTGATTTTATGAAGCTTTTGGAGGCAACAGGCAGCATAAAGTACTGTCATTCCAGCTTCCTCCTTTTGCTCTTATCCCACCCGTGTTGTTGTTCTGGCAGAACTGTGTGTGCTGCGTTCTGTGAGCTTGGGAGGATAACTGATCCTGTTGAGAAAAAACCCACATATGAAAAAATTCAGCAGAGCATTTGTAGTACAAATGGCACCATGGGAAACCAAACCACTGATCCATAAGTGCAGCATGCTTAACATTTCCGATGTGCTCTTACATTTCTATCAGTACCATATTGCGTGAAGGGCTGGCTGAACGTTTTCAGTATTTCTTAAAATGTGAAATAGCCTTCTGAAATAGCCTCCACCTGGAGCCTTCCGCAGCTGATTTTTATTTCTTTCTGAAATGTGAAGGCTTTTTCTTCCTGAATGAAACAAGAAGACATATTAGGAGAAGGATTTTATTGAAACACTGGAAAGTTTCAATTTAACGTTTTTTGGGAAGAAAATTTTTGATTATCTGCAGGACAAAAATCATTCTTCTCTAGCAGCTCTCTTAGTCCTGTGCTAGGTGAGATTACTCAGCCTAAGGAACATTGCAAGCAGAGAGAGGAGGTGGCAGTTGTCACAGACATGCTGGGTGCAGAAAGTGTCAGGCAATGAGGCTGACATTTCCCAGTAGTTCCTGCTGGATGATTTGAGAAATTTCTTAAAGGAACGTGATCCAGATAAAAATTATTTTAAAAGGAGTTTTTTGCCTAAGATCTTGGTAAATGAGTGACTAAGACTTTTAGTCATTCAGACTCAGCTCTTTAAATGGTCTTTTCCTTTCCTGCTATTTAATTAACTTCTCTGCTTCGCTAAGGGCGTGATGCTGCAGACAGTTCTGGCAGCACCTGCGATCTGTAGTGCTCCCGCAGCTGAGCTTGCCGCCCCTGCGCTCGGTGCTGTACATGTGCTCACGCCTCACAAGGCAGCCCACACTCCGTGTAGCATTCCTCGTCCTTTCTCCAGAACGTAGCCCTGTATCCCTCTCGAGACGGATGTGTACACAGGTGTTGTGCAGGTGGGGACTGAGGCACAGAAAAAATTGGTGACTTCCCCATAGCAGTTCAGAGGCGCGAACCCAAGGCCTGGCAGTCGGGAAGTCACGTCTTTGGCTTAGGAAGCTGCCTGCAGAGCTTTCTTGCGGAGGTGCAATCTTCACCAGTGCGAGATTGCTTTTCTTGGCTTAATGTCTTTATTTCTGGAGGTGGTGGAGCTGATGTAACTGTGGTGGCAAAAGTGTGCAGTATGGGCCTGTCTTCAGAGCTGGGCAAATAAAACCCGAGGGCAGGAGAGGCATTTTTCCTTCAACATTTTTCACCACCTGTTCAGAAAAGTGAATGAGCATGGTAGTGTCTGAAGAGAAAATACTCTATTAGCCCCAAACTAAACAAAAAACGTAATCTGAAACTGAAAGTTAGACTTCACCAGGTTCCAAAGTTTTCCCTGGAAACCACGTGTAAGTTTTGTGGAGGTTTTTCAAGGAAACCTACGCTTAGGGGAGGGGCAGAAAATTTTCAAACAACTCAAAAGTCACCAATTTTGGAAACTTCCTCCCCTGTCCTGAGTTTCTCACACCGAGAGGACAAGTTTGGACCTGAGGTGCAGGCATCACTCTCCCTCAGACAACGCTCATCTTTGGCAGATCTTCTGCCCAGCTCTCCCTTCTTTCTCCCTGGCTTATGTAGGTCTGTAGGACGAGTTTTATGGCGAAGGCATTCGTGCCACCCAGGAACGCGGACTGTGGAAACAGCCACCGCCCCTGCGAGTGGCTGCAGCTGTGGCTTTGGCAGCAGGGTACAAGGCACATACTCTGAGAGGAGCAGATATATCAAAGTGACAGCCTGAGACTGTAAACACCAAGGAGCTCTAGCAGCGAGCCTGATCCTGGCTTTAGTGAACTAGTTGTGTGAACTTGAACCTTCTTTCCTATCCCTGGAAGGAATGTTGAAGGCTTTTTGTTGAAGGCTTAGCTCTGACCTGGAACTGGGGGTACTTGATCTACTCCAGCTCGGGAGGGGAAATATTT